CGGTGCCAACACTTTAAGTTGATCAAAGTAGACATTTCTCCTCCTTTTCTTAACTCAGGCCCAGGAAGCTGTCCCTTCACATTGTGTGTGGCCATCTCAGGTTGGATTAAGACCATCTTAGGTTGGATTAAGACCATCTTAGACTGGATTAAGACCATCTTAGACTGGATTAAGACCATCTTAGACTGGATTAAGGCTGTGATCAGTTTCTGCTATTTCCCTACTTTGCTCTTCTTTTCCTTTCCATGTTGCTCAGTGCAGTTTCCAACACCTCCACAAAGGGGGCAGAGAGAAGTGAGAAGCCTCAAAGAGGGGCATGGAGGGTAGGGCAGGAAACTTATCTGACCAGTGCTGTCAAAGCTTGGCTTCATGCTTTCTGGGCCTGGCAGATGTTTAATGCTTCCTTTCTCTTGTAGACATGTGTATGGGTTTCTTGGAGATGTTTCCAGGGTTGGGCATCTCCTACCCACAGTTCCCCTGTATTTGTCTGTTTTCACACTGCTATAAAGAACTACCTGAGGCCAGGCACCATGGCTCACGCCTGTAATCCCAGCACTTTGAGGGGCTAAGGTGGATAGATCACTTGAGGCCAGGAGTCTGAGACCAGTCTGGCCAACATGGCAAAACCTTGTATCTACTGAAAATACAAAAGTTAGCTGGGTGTGGTGGCGAGTGCCTGTAATCCCAGATCGCTGAGGCACAAGAGTCACTTAAACCTGGAAGGGGAAGGTTGCAGTGAGCTGAGACTAGGTAATTTATAAAGAGTTTTAATTGGGTCACAGTTCTGCATGACTGGGGAGACCTCAGGAAACTTACAATCACGGCAGAAGGCAAAGGGGAAGCAAGGTACATCTTACATGGCAGCAGGGCACAGTGAGTGCAAAAGTACAAGTGCCATACTTTTAAACCATCAGATTTCATGAGATCCCACCATCACAAGAACACCAAGGAGGAAACTTCCCCCAGGATTCCAATCACCTCCCACCAGGTCCCTCCCCTGACACATGGGGATTAAAATCTGAGATGAGATTTGGGTGGGACATAGAGCCAAACTCCATCATCCCCTAGTGAGGGAGAATGAATTTCTCTTCCCTCTGGTCTGTAAAAGGCTCCTTTCTCAGCCTCTGTGAATCTGAACTTCGCCGCCATCCTCTTTGCAATGAAGTCCCTTCACATTGTGTGTGGCCATCTTAGACTGGATTAAGACCAGCCCATCAGCACCTTCTCAAACGATCCATTTCCAGTCTGCAAGAAACCTTGGTGCATCCTCTGCTCCAGCAAACTCTCATGGAGGGAGTCCCCAGCTCAACTGTTCCCCCTTCCACTTGCCAGCCTGCCTTCCACTCTCAGGAGTTGGAGTCAGATACGGGGCCACTGGGCCCCACCATGCCACTCTAACTGTGGGGTCCTGATGGAACCCCACTGGGCTTGAAGTGCAGGGCAGAGCCTCTCCATCTGCTCCTAGGGTGGGTGTGGTAGAAGGGGACACCTAGCACCCCGATTGCTCCTTTTAGTCCTTCAATGTGGGTAGAGGCTTAAGAATCTTATACTTCTTTTTGGTTTTCTCTTAAAAACTTGCAGCTTGGCTTGGCTTGGCACTCAGCTAAGGAATATCATCTATTTTATCTCAGTGCATCAGTTGAAATTTGTTTTTTCCAGATGGGGAATGTTAGAACTAAGGGAATCTCCTGATTGCATGAAGAGAACATGCCCACATCTTGAGGGAAATGGATGGATCTTCCAGCCTCTATTTTTTCTCCTATAATGAAGTTGTCCCAGATACAGCCCTAGGGATATCACTTGACTTTAGAGACTAAAATCCAAGACCACACTCAACAACTTTCCCACCTATGCAGGAATTCTAATAAACTTAGTAACTTGGACAACTGTCTGTGAGCATTATCAAAACCATGTTTCATCAGCAAGCTGTCATAAGCAACTTTAGTTGACTTACAGCCCAAAAAAAAAAATCAACTTCATTTTCCCTGCAGCATTCATGTTATGCCTTGGTGTTTCAAAGATTTCTCATGTCTCAACATTGAAACATCCATCTTGGCTAATGGCAAAATTATACCCACGGGGTTTTACAAAAGACAAAAATTTGTCCTCATTTTCTATCAGAGTATCTCCTAGAATGTTTCAGTCCAGTATCTTTGAAATACCATGTTTCATCAACTGTATTTATCCCTATGTTGCTGGCAGACCCCTTACGGTTTATCTTCTTGTCTTGCTGATACAATGGCACATGAAGGCATTTTGTATGTCACTAATTAAGAGGGAAATAGCAAAGTTGTATCAGGAGAAAAGAAACAAGTTGTTCACAGAAGAAATCAAAAAGCCTACGTAAACTGCACTTACTAAGTGGTTGTCATACAATACATGATTTGTTAACCTAGGCACAAATCCCCCTTTCCAAACTTGGATTCTGCCGTTGTCCTATACATTTCTTGTCACTCACATTTCATATTTTCTGCAAATATCAATTTTCAGAGTTCCCCAGTTATGAACACATTTCTCTCTGCTTGGAATGGCTTTCTCCCTTGTGGCCTGATATCCAGGGATTAATTCAAATGTCTGTTTCTCATATTCAGGCAGAATTGGTTTTTCTATTCCTTGTAATCCCCTAGAACAGAGGTTGACAAACTACAGTCCTGTGGGTCAAATCCAGCCTACCACCTGTTTTTATAAAGTTTTATTGGAATACAGCCACCTTATTCACTTACTATTGTTTGTGGTTGCTTTCTTACTAGTATGTAGAGTTACGTGGTTGCATCAGGGACTGTTTGGCCCACAAAGCCTAAATATTAATTATGTGGCACTTGACAGGAGAAAACTGCTGACACCTGCTGTATTAGTTCTTTCTGGCATTGCTATAAAGAAATACCTGAGACTGGTAATTTACAAAGAAAAAAGGTTTAGCAGGGACATGGATGAAGCTGGAAACCATCATCCTTAGCAAACTAACAAAGGAACAGAAAATCAGACACCACATGTTCTCACTCATAAGTGGGAGTTGAACAATGAGAACACATGGACACAGGGAGGGGAACATCACACACTGGGGCCTATTGGGGTGGGTGGCGGGAAGGGGAGGGAGAGCATTAGGACAAATACCTAATGCATGCAGGGCTTAAAATCTAGATGATGGGGTTGATAGGTGCAGCAAACCACCGTGGCATATATATACCTGTGTAACAAACGTACATGTTCAGCACATGTATCCCAGAACTTAATGTAAAATAAAAAAAAGAAAGAAGAGAGGTTTAATTGGCTCACAGCTCCACAGGCTGTATGGGAAGCATGATGTTGCCATCTGCTCAGCTTCTGAGGAGGCCTCAGGAAACTTACAATCACAGTGGAAGGCAAAGGAGGAGCAGGCAGGTCACATGGCCAGAGCAGCAACAATGGAAGTAGGAGGGAGGTACCACACACGTTTAAACGACCACATCGAGAGAACTCACCATCACAAGGACAGCAGCAAAGGGACAGTGCTAAACCATTCATGAGAAATCCAATCACCTCCCACCACGCCCCCACCTCCAACACTGGGGACTACATTTCAACATGAGATCTGGGCAGGGACACACATCCAAATGATATCCCCTGCCCTAACACATTGCATATGTATAATAGGACCCTTGTCATCCTGGATGGAAATTGTTTGCTGACTTACAAGTTCACTTCCCCCCCCGCCCTCAACAGTGATAGTCCTTCAATGTACACATGAAAAACAAGGTGTCTGAAAGTTTCAAGTTTTAGCTCTGCCACTTAGGAGTTGTGTGGCCTTGAAAAAACTACGTAATCTGTCTGGGTTGCTGGTTTCTCACTTGCAAAATAGGGATAATAATAACCGCAAAGGTTTACTGTGAGGATTAAATGAGATACACCAAAAGTGCTTCAAATACTGTCTGGAACAACAACAAAAAAATGTTAGTGATAAGTAATCTTTTTATCCCACATACCATGGGAAGTAGCCCACACTAGTAAAGTGCCTGAAATCTAGTGTCTTCTCCATAAAGTTTCCTGCATTTGTTGGCAGAGTGAATGAAAAGAAAAAAGATATAAATATTCCTGGAAGATTAAAATAATGGAAAATATCCAAAGTCATAGACTGATTCCATGCACAAAGCAGAAGCTTGACTCAACATAAAGGAGGTACAATAAAGCAAAGACGTAAAAATCTTCATAGAAGCATGTCTTACTCCATTTGCATTGCTATAAAGAAGTACCTGAGGCGGGGTAATTTATAAAGAAAAGAGGTTTATTTGGCTCATGCTTCTTCAAGCTGTGCAAGCACGGTGCCAGCATCTGTTTGGCTTCTGGTGAGGGTTCAGGAAGCTTAGTGGTAGATGAAGGGGGAGCAGGCATGTCACATGGCAAGAGTGGGAGCAAGAGAGAAGCCAGGCTCTTTTAAAGCATCGGTTATTGTGTGAACTAACAGAGTAAAAACTCGCTCATTACCATGAGGAGGGCATCAAGCCATTCATGAGGAATCCACCCCCCCAGACCCAAACACCTCCCACTAGCCCCCCCTCCGACACTGGCAATCACATTTCAACATGAGATTTGGAGGGGACGCATAACCAAATCATTTCAAAGGAGAAAAACTGGAAAGCTTTGTTAAATAGAAATCCTCCTTGTGTTACATGGTTAGTTTGTGTCAGACGGAAATCACAGAAATGTAGTAGGAAAGTCTGCCCTCCACCACCCCCCTGCTATTCTTTTGAGTTTCAAAGAAGGAAGACAAGACACCAACGTAATCCTCACCTGCAGTTCATGCTAAGCGAGGAGCCTCCCTAAATCCTTATGTACCATGACTTTTTTTTGAGACAGAGCCTCACTCTGTCACCAGGCTGGAGTGCAGTGGCATGATCTCAGCGCACTGCAACCTCCACCTCCCAGGTTCAAGCGATTCTCCTGCCTCAGCCTTGTGAGTAGCTGGGACTACAGGCGTGTGCCACCGTGCCAGCTAATTTTTGTATTTTTAGTAGAGACAGGGTTTCACCATGTTGGCCAGGATGGTCTCGATCTCTTGACCTCGTGATCCACCCACCCCAGCCTTCCCCCATAACTAGTGAATTAACTAAATATATGTTATACAAGAAATACCCATAACTTGGCCCCAAAATGGGACTAGATACTCCTCCAGCTTGTGCTATACCCAGGGCCTCACCTGCCCATCTCTTTCCAAAGTCTGCAGGTTCCTATGGTCTTAATTCTGCAGCCTCTCTGCAGAACCCCAAGCTGTAGTGCTGTAGCTCTGTCACTGCTAAGGGGGAACTGTGCTCATTTGCCATGATTAGAAGATCTTTGAAGGTCTTTGGCAGTTTTTATCAAGGCATAAAAAGCAATTATTGCAATTAATGCAATTTACCATGTGTTACTCTTCCAGAAAAGCTATTTCAGGGTAGGTCTGCCATCTGTCCCTTTCAGAGTGATAAGCCTTATCATTTAACACTGTCCAGAATCTCAGGGTTTGCATGTAAAACCTCAGGGAGTATCCTCAGATAAATCCACTCCAGCATTCTCTGTTGGGCTCTTCCAGGTCTCAGGTTCATAGACAGTCTTTACCTCCAATAACAAAGGCTTTTGTGTCTGGGTAGGAAGAAGAAAGAATGTGGTCTCGAAATGGACATTCAGATACTCGTTTCTGCAGAGGGAGCCATCAACCGGCAGAGGGAGCTTATTTTTTGCCGTCAACAACCCTTCCCTTAACACAACACTGATGCTTGAAGATGTAGTCTACCAACATTGCTTCTGACAACCAGGAAATACAGAGGAAACACCATAACTGGCATATGTTGTTGCACGAGCCGAGGGGAATAGAAGAGTTTCTGCCAAAGAGATCCAAGCTAAACAGGAAGGAAAGGAGACAAAATCACGACTTCTAGTTTATATCGGGTGATTTTTCAAACATAAAAAATAATGGACATCTAAGATCAAAGTCTAACTATCAAATATCAAGTTAAAATCCACCTATTTTTATTCTTTAAAAAAAAAAAAAACCACCAAATACTTGTTCCTTTTTAGATGGGCGACTAGGGAAATATGAAGTGGTATAACCCACTTTAAAAAGCGTAGTGCCAGCCAAATGGCTGGAAAACTCATACTTTGCTTCTCACCAATCTCCCTCATTCCTCTCTAAAAAATCTGGCTGCAGGGCTGCTAAGTGTATCGTGAAAAGAGAAACAGGGCAGGCTTTCCCTCGTGAAAATAAGATTCACGAAGGCACTGAGAAGCAAACCAGCTTTTCTCCTCGTTCACACATTTGGTAGAAGCTGCCATTTTCCAAGTTTGGCACCTTTTTCCTTTCCAATAACCAAGAAGATTTTATGTATAAAATATTTATATATCTATCAAGTACTGTCTCTATGCTTTTTAATGACTAAATGTTTTTATAATTCTTAAAATCCCAATGCTTTGGTTTGTACAATATCTTTTTTTTTTTTTTTTTTTTTTTTTTTACTGTGAGCCCTGTAGACCTTGGGTTTATTAAAAGTTGTTGGAAAATAAATCAGGCTCTTCAGGATGATCTTTGGAACCCTCTGCACTTGTTTATCAGGAGACAGGCTGTTCCCTCCTTGCCTACCTTCCGATGAGCCCAAGGGACTGGGGCAATGGTGTCTGTCTGAGGTGTAATGACAGCGTGTCCTTCTTCAGTGGAAAGGGCAGGGGTGGGACAGAGAGTTATTTTAATTGTTCCTGAAAACTTTCCATTTTCCTCCAATCGTGAGCCAATGCAGTGCTCTCATTTGCTATTTAAGCTTTCTCCCCCCCCCGCAAAAGATACTTCTGTACTAAGGGCTTTTATTTATGTGGTAAGGGAACTAGAGATGTCAGTTTCATTGTCAGTTTCTTAAAAAGACGGTTTTCTTCACAATGTTTGAACAGCCTGTCCACTGTAACATTTTACATTTGCTATCAGGCATTTGTTGACAAGGTAGATATTTAAAAATTACTACTGGGGTTGGGTGCAGTGGCTCATACCTGTAATCCCAGCACTTTGTGAGGCCGAGGCGAGTGGATCACCTGAGGCCAGGAGTTCAAGACCAGCCTGGCCAATGTGGTGAAACCCCGTCTCTACTTAAAAAAAAAAAAAAATTAGCCAAGTGTGGTGGCAGGCACCTGTAATGCCAGCTACTCAGGAGGCTGAGGTGGAAGAATTGCTTGAACCTGGGAGGTGGAGGTTGCAGTCAGCTGAGATCACGCCACTGCACTCCAGCTTGAGGGACAGAGTGAGACACTGTCTTTAAAAAAAAAAAAAAAAAAAAAAGATGTTGCATTTAAGTTATTTGAGTATTTGAAGCTTTCAAATTTTAAGTTATTGAATACTTGAAGTTTTCAAACAAGATTCAGTTTTGCATATCCGATGTGTAGATGAAATTTGCAAAGTTAATAGATACGAAAATAACCAACGAAGAGATTATTGTTGTTCCAGCAATACCCCGCCTTCCTGCTTTTGTTTTCTTCCCACTCTTATGCCATTTCAGACTGATGAGCTTCGAAGAACACAGGTGATAACTGAGATTCACGTAAACAGAATACGAAAGCAAGGCACCCCATACGGTCACAGACAACTCAGCCATTCCTTCTGCTAGAGCAGCCACTGACTGGACCAGAGGCTTATCGGGGGGCCCACAGACAGCCCAGAGCCCCTGGACACAACCCACAGAGTCCCACAAAGTGCCCTAGACAGCCTGGCCGTAAACCTGTCCAATGACCTGACATGGCCTCATACAAAGGACTCTTCCCAAAGTCGCTGTGGTAATGAACTAAACAAAGGAGATGAATTCTCTCTGGAATCAAGGAATACAAAAAGGCAGGGTCAGTTAGGACCGACAGGAGAACTGAGAATCAGGGAAACAAGCAGCCGTACTTAGGAGAGAACATACAGACCAGATGATAAAGCCAGCAGAAAGTCTATCTTTGAACACGCCTCACTTCCGAATGGTTTTTGCTCTAGCCCACATGTGTTTTATGATCTACGCCACTTTGCTTAAGTTGCTCAAGGGAGACTGTGTTCCTTCTTTCCAAATAATCCTAGCATCACAGGTGAGAGCCACTGTAAATAACTCAGTTTACTCCCTGCAACAGAGAGTGTTATTCTTAAATATCTCATAAACGTGCTTTTAAACCTGTTGTATTAGTCCGTTTTCACACTGCTATCAACATACTACCTGAGGCTGGGTAATTTACAAAGGAAAGAGGTTGAATTTACTCACAGTTCCACATGGCTGGGGAGGCCTCGGGAAGCTTACAATCATGACGGACTAGGAAGCAGACACCTTCTTCACAAGGTAGCAGGAGAAAAAAGAAACCCAGGCAAACTGCCATTTATAAAACCATCAGATCTCGTGAGAACTCCTTCACTATAACAAGAACAGCATGGGTGAAACTGCCCGCATGCTCCAATCACCTCAACACCTGGGGATTACAATTGGTGATGAGATTTGGGTGGGGATACAAAGCCAAACCGTATCACCTGTATAGAATAAAGATAACCACTTTTCATTTTCACTTACTACTCTGTAGACTCAACTTCTGGTAATAGGGTATATTTTTTGCTATACAAACGCTATACACAAGATTAAACAGTTCTCTAGAGAATACAGTTACCTGGTGCCTACCCACCTAGAGAACTAGGTGCCCCTAGAGACTTCTCTAGTGAGAATGGTAAGAAAAAATATATTTATTTGCTTGCAGCTGTTTCTTTTTACTCCAAAAATAAATTTGGAGGCCAGGTGCAGTGGCTAATGCCTGTAATTCCAGCACTTTGGGAAGCTGGGTGGTAGGATCTCTTGAGGCCAGGAGTTTGAGACCATCCTAGGAAACCTACTTCTACTCTACTCAACCTCATCCCTACTAAAACTTCTTTGTAAAAAATTAGCTGGGCATGGTGGCACATACCTGTCATCCCATTACTCAGTAGGCTGAGGCAGGGGGAACACTTGAGCCCAGACGGCCAGGGCTGCACTGAGCTGTGATTGCACTACTGCACTCCAGCCTGGGTGACACAGTGAGGCCCTGTCTTGAACTCCAGCAGGTTTGCCTACACGTCTTCACAGCTGTTATGAGTTTACTAGGGCTGCCATAACAAAGTACCACAGACTGGGGGGCTTAAACACCAAAAATGGATTGTCTCATGGTTCTGGAGGTTGAACCCCATAATTCAAGGTGTTTTCTTGACCAGCAGGGCTGGTTTCTTCCAAGGGCAGTGATGGAAAGACCTGTTCGGGGCCTCTCTGCAGGGCTTGTGCATGTCCATCTTCGGGTTTATTCGGTGTCTTCCCTGTATATGCCTGTGTTCCTGTTTCTCCCTTTTATAAAGACACCAGTCATATTGGATTACAGCCCACCCCACTCCAGTGTGACCTCATCTTAATTACATCTCCAGTGACCCGATTTCCAAAGAACTTCACATATTCTGAGATACTGTAGGTTAGGACTTCAGTATAGGAATTTTTTGAGGGGGTGGGGGGGAATATAATCCAGCCCGTAACAAAAGCTTTTGTGAACCTGGGTCTTCCAAAATTGTACATCAGACCAAGTCAGTCCCATCCACCACCTACACTAAGCACTAAGATCCCTTCAGTGAAAGAGTGAACCCTAATGTAAATTATAGAGTTTATAATAATGTGTCAGTATTGATTCCCCAATTGTAAGAAATGTGCCCACTAATGCAAAGATTAACATCTTTAATAATAGGGGAAACTGAGGCAGAGGAACAGGGGAGAAGATACCTGGGAACTCTGTACGCTCTGCTCTATTTTTCTGGAAACCTCAAACCGCTCTTAACAATAGTCTATTAATTTTTTTTTTTTTTTTTTTTGAGACAGAGTCTCCCTGTGTCACCCAGGCTGGAGTGCAGTGGTGTGATCTCGGCTCACTGCAGCCTCTGCCTCTCGGGTTCAAGTGATTCTCCTGCCTCAGCCTCCTGAGAAGCTGGGATTACAGGTGCACAACACCAAGTCTGGCTAATTTTTGTATTTTTAATAGAGATCGGGTTTCACCACGTTGGCCAGGCTGGTCTGGAACTCCTGACCTCAGGCAATCTGCCCGCCTCAGCCTCCCCAAGTGCTACGGTTAGAGGCATGAACCACCGTGCCCAGCCCATTTTTTTTAAAAGGAAAAATCCTATGTAAACAGGAAAAAAAGAGCCCTTTGACTGGCTACAATGACCAGAGCCTCCAGGGACCTTGGGGTGTTGCTCCCTTCCTTCTGTGACCCCTCTTCCTGTTTGCTTCGCTCTGTGCCAGCCATAGGTACCTTCCTTCTGTTTCTAGAGCCAGCCAGTCCTGTTAAAAATCAAGGGCCTTACATGAAGTTGTTCCCCCATCCTGGAATCTTTTTCTCTCCTCAGATTCTCCAGGTCCCAGTTTACCTGTCAGTCCTCCCAGAGGACAATGCCCCAGCTCTCATTTTCCTCACTGAATTTATCATTGCTAGGTTTGATTCCCTCATCTATTACCTGTTTCTTCCTTTTCTGTCTCTGATTCTTGCTCTCATTGGGCCCACTCTGTCTCCACCAACACCTCCTGGTCTAAGCCACCATCTGACTTGATCCACAGCAACTGCCTTCTCACTGGTTATCAATAAGAAACTAATGAAGACAGGTGGAAGTCCTTGAAGAGGTGTCCAACAATTTTGTTCTTTCACTGCAATCTGAATTTAATGCACAAGGATTTGTTTCCTCCCTATTTTCTCCTTGAACAGTGTTGCTGCAAACACAAACACAAACACACACACACACACACACACACACACACACACACACACACACACTTTGAACACCCTTCTTCCCAGAAAGATCTTTGTGTAGCATTTCCAATTGAGCATCTTGGAACTGTTAGGGTAACCACCTGAGTTGATCTCAGCTGGTACAGTTGAGAAAGGTGATCCTGAGAACAGCAAGAATTTATGAGGCAATTTAGAAAGAGATGGATTTAAAAACACTGACTGTTCCTGGTAGATTTGGGAGCACAGGTGTACTATCTTTGATTTGGAAAGAACTGCAAAGAAATGCTGTCCAACACTGAACATGAGCTGATGTGTAGGAGCAGCTCCTACATTACTGTGGAGCAAATGGGTTTTAATACGTAATTGGAGAGGTAGAGGAGGAGGGCAGGGTTTTTATGCTTTGTTTTCTGAAGGAAATCACCCCTATGTCTCCAAATATGATCACAGGGATGAGTGAGTTAATGGTTTTATTTTGGTTTTTGTTTGATGTTTGTTTTGTTTGCGGTTTTGTTGTTGTTTTTTCAAACAGCAGAAACAAACTCAATCCAGTTTAAGCAAAGAAGTGGGGGTTGACGGCAGGGACTCAGGAGCATCGAGTGGAAAAAAAGAGCAGAGATGGACATTGGCTCCAGGAAGCTCCCAAGCCCACTCCCCTCTGCCCGACTGCCTAGTCCTCTTTCTCTGTGAACTGCCTTCATTGCTCTGTTCCACAAGGTAGGCATCTGCTGCCCCTCTTCCATTGCCTAAATATAAAAATATAAGTCTTACAGCCAGAAGAGGATGCCGTGAGTCTCTTGGTCTCAGTCCAAGTTCCTGGAAGAAGTAATCTGCACGGTACAGTGTCCATCTGTGGTCCAGTCTACTATAGCCAAGATGAGGGGTGTGCAGAGACTCATGGTACAAACACTCCTACTTTCCCTCCGTGCTTTGCACGCTGTGGAGGAGAAATGAAGAGACAGGGAAGTGAGATGATCCTCAGAGAAGGGAGCTGCTGGAAGCTCAATTAATAGTCCCCAAGGGCCCCACAGAATGCGTATATGTGTCATTCATTCATTAAAAATGTATTGAACCCCTACTACAAGTGGGCAGAATTTCAGGCCTTAGGGACAACTCTCCCCTTTAGAAGCTGGGATGCTAGCTGGGAATCAAAATATTGCATGCATGAGATTGTCAGGAAACATGTAAATAGGACCTTATTTAGGAAAATATTCACTGAGTGTCTGCCATTGGCAAGATACTGCAGGGTGTTAGGGAGCAAAAGTACTAAGACCTAGCACCCTTCCTCCTTGCCCAAGTTCTAAGCCAATTGAGAAATGAGATAAAGCCAATAGAGACCAAAGCACTACATCTATGGCCAACAAAGGCTAGGTTGGATGTTGTAGTTTATAGAGGCAGGCAGATGAGCTTCCTTTTCTAAACCCCAGAATGAGGCAGGGATGGGCAGAGCTGGGCACATACAGACAGGCAGAGCTGGGCACAAAGAATGGTCTTCCAAAACCCATTCACTGAGCACCTTCTGCCTGCCAGGCATTGCTCTAGATAAGGAGACACTGCAGTGAACAAAACTATGTTACTGCCCTTCTGAACTTAATTTCTAGTGAGGGACTATAGACCCCCCTTCAAAAAAAAAAGTTAGATAGTGGTATATACAGCTGTGTGACTTTGCTTAGGCTGCCATAGCAAAGTAACATGGACTGGGTAACTTGAACAACAGAAATGAATTTTCTCAGCTGGGCGCAGTGGCTCATGCCTGTAACCCCAGCACTTTCAGAGGCCAAGGTGGGTGGATCCCTTGAGGTCAGAAGTTGGAGACCAACCTGGGCAACACGGCAAAAACCCATCTCTACTAAAAATACTCATGGTACAAACACTCCTACTTTCCCTCCGTGCTTTGCACGCTGTGGAGGAGAAATGAAGAGACAGGGAAGTGAGATGATCGCTGGGCATGGTGGCATGAGCCAGTAATCCCAGCTACTGGGGAGGCTGAGGCACAAGAATGACCTGAACCTGGGAGTCGGAGGTTGCAGTGAGCCAAGATTGCACCACTGCACTGTAGCCTGTGCAACAGAGTGAGACTCTGTCTGAAAGAAAGAAAGAAAGAGAGAGAGAAAGAAAGAAAGAAAGAAAGAAAGAAAGAAAGGAAAGAAAGAAGAAAAAGAAAAGAAAGAAAGAAGAAAAGAAAGAAAGAAAAGGAAGAAAGAAGAAAGAAAGAAAGGAAGGAAGGAAGGGAAGGAGAGGGGAAGAAGGAAGGGAAAGAAAGAAATTAATTTTCTCTCAGCTCTGGAGGCTGGAAGTCAGAGATCAAGGTGCCAGCAGGGTTGGGTTCTTCTGAGAGTCACGAGGAAAGGTCTGTTCCAGGGCTCTCTTCCTGGTGTGTAGATAGTCTTCTCATTGCATCTTCACACGGCCTCTCCTCTGTGCATGTGTATGTGTGCTAATCGCCTCTTTCTTATAAGGACACCAGTCATACCAGATCAGGGCCCACAAGAATGACCTCATTTTAATTTTAAGATCACCTCTCTAAAGACCCTATGGTCAACAAAGTCTAGGTTGGAGAATGTAGTCTTTAGCTGCAGGCAGATGGGCTTCCTTTACTAAACCCCAGAAGGAGGCAGGGATGGGCAGAGCTGGGCACATAGAATGGTGTGCCAAATACAGTCTAAAGACGCTATCTCTTTACTTCCAAGATTGGGCTATAGAAAAATAATAATAACTAAAATAAAAAATAAAAATAAATAAGAAAAGACCCTCTCACCACCTCACCTCCCTTCTGGAGGCTGTGAGTCTGGGATTGAGGTGTCTGCAGGTTGCTTTCTTGTAAAGTCCCTGTCCCTGGCTTGCAGACGGCCACCTTCTCCCTGTGTCTTCACATGGTTTTCCCTCTGTGCGTGTCTGGGTCCTAATCTCTTCTTCTTAGGGGGGTACCCGTATGACCGTATTTGACCCTAATTACCTCTCTAAAGACCCTTTCTCCAAATACGATCACATCCTGAGCTAACTAGAGGTTGGGACCTCAACATACAAATTTGCGGTGAGGAGGTACAATTCAGCCCATAACATCATAAAGAAAAAGAAAGCAGTGTTACAGGAGTTTGGTTGATGGAGCACTATTTCACACAGAATGACCAGGGAAGACATTTCTGAGAAAGTAACATTTGAATAAAAGCTTTCTTTTTAGTCGAGTGCAGTGGCTCACGTCTGTAATCCCCACACTTTGAGAGGCCAAGGTGGGAGGATAGCTTGAGACCAGGAGTTCGAGACCAGCCTGAGCAACATAGCAAGACCCTGTCTCTACAAATGATAATAAATGAATGAGTAAATGAATGAATGAATGAAAAGTTTTCTTGTGATGAATAAGTGCCTTGAGACCTGGAGCTCTTGGAGGCATTCTAGATGAGTAGTATCAACAAGAACCTGGGGCTTGACACGTGTGAGAAATGTCGTGGAAAGTAAGAAAATAGATCTGGGGGTCATAGAAGGTTTTGTTTTGTTCTGTTTTCAGTAGCAACAGAAGTGAATGTCCTCTGTAGGGTGATACCTAAAGTCATAGCAATAGAAATTACAGTCAGAAGTCAAAGACTAAATAAAGTCATATAGGTAGGTGATAAAGTACAATTAATGAGAAGTTAGGGATTTGGGATTCATCTTCGGACAACTGGGTTGAGAGAGTCCTTTGAAGTTTCAGGGAAATGGGAGGAATCATGAACATGGTCTCACGGGTAGAAGAATCTGAACTCGGTACATAGAATGAATGAGAATTGGGATAAACTAAAAGGCCAGGTGACTGTGCAGGAAGCTATTCTGAGGCCCCGTGTACGTGGTCATAAAGGGCTGCTTTAAATTGCAATTGTAGCAGGAGAAATACAAAATTGGAGATGATTTCAAAGGAAGAATGGACTGAGTCAAAACTGGCATTGAAATCTCTTAGTTACATGAACTAAGTCACACTCATTAAACTCCCTGGAAATGGTAACCTAGAAAGGAGCTATGCCATATCTACAGCTCATCTGATGCCACAATTAAAATGCACGAGGCACAGCCACACTCAGATTGGAAAATGCTGAACAGGTCTCTGGTCTCAGGAGACTGCAAGTTCCGGGCCATGCTGTGACTGGAATTTTCATCGTTCCTTCTTCTCTCAGGTATATTCACACCAACACCACTTGTTAACAGCTAAATTGTGTCTCTCCCAAATGCATACATCGAAGCCCTAACCCCCAGTACCCGAAAATGTGACTGTGTTTGGAGATAGGGTCTTTAAAGAGGTAATTTAAGTAAAATGAGGTCATATGGGTACCTTCTAAGAAGAGATCAGGACACAGACATGCACAGATGGAAAACCACGTGAAGGAAGACACGGGGAGAAGATGGGACATCTACAAGCCCGGGAGATGGGCCTTAGAATAAACCAAGCTGCTGACACCTCGGCCTCACACTTACAGTCTCCAGAATAGCGAGAAAATTAATATCTGGAGTGAAGCCACCCAGCCTGTGATACTTTGTTAAGGCAGCCCAAACAAAAGAATACACCGTTCTGCTCAATGGCCACTTCTGAGCATGCCGGGGGCCTCCAGGAACCTTCCCTGATCCTCTTTTCCAGTGATTTGGCTCCCGGCCAATACACAGCCTCATTGCTTCCTCTTAAATCCATTTTCTCTTGTTCTGTCCTTTAGTAGAGAAAATGAATTCATATCATCCTCATCATACTGCATCATCTAACACATAACCACTGGTCACTTATGGTTATTTCTTTCTTTATTTTAGATGGAGTTTCGCTCTGGTTGCCCAGGCTGGAGTGCAGTAGTGCGACCTTGGCTCATTGCAACCTCCACCTCCGAGGTTCTAGTGATTCTCCTGCCTCAGCCTCCCCAGTAGCTGGGATTATAGGAGTGTGCCACCACGCCTGTCTAATTTTTGCATTTTTAATAGAGACGGGGTTTCACCATGTTGCCCAGACTGGTCTCAAACTCCTGACCTCAAGTGATCCACCCGCCTTGGCCTCCCAAAGTGCCGGGACTACAGGCATGAACCACTGTGCCTGGCCCACTTATGGTTATTTAAATTCAACTTAATTAACATGAAATACAATATAAAACTCAGATTCTCTCTTGCAGTAGCTACATTTTAAGTGTTCAATAGCCACATGTGACCAGTGGGTAACTTATTGGACAGCATATATAGAACATTTCCCTTATCGTAGGAAGTTCTCTTGGACATGCTATAGGAGAAAGCTTAAATCCCCTCTTTTAGAGCCCCAACCTGGTAATATTTGTTAAGGTTCTTTCAGCTGTAAGCAACATAAACCTGCTCAAGGTAGATTTTTCTTCTTTTTTTAAGGTGGAATAGGAAGGTAGTGGTGGGCCTTATTGGGAGATATAAATACCCCACGAGATCAAAAGGACAGCTGGAAGAACCAAGGGCAGCTCTGATGACTTTGACAGGAGGCTCTTGTGGCCTTTCCTCTATGGAGCTGCCAGTGGTCTTCAGTTTCCATGTGTGTTTTTTTTTTTTTTTTGAGAGAGTCTCACTCACTCCGCCACCCAGGATGGAGTGCAGTGGCACGATCTTGGCTCACTGCAACCTCCACCTCCTAGGCTCAAGCGATTTTCTTGCCTCAGCCTCCCTAGTAGCTGGGACTACAGGCGCCCGCCACCATGCCTGGCTAATTTTTGTGTTTTCAGTGGAGATGGGATTTTGCCATGTTGGCCAGGCTGGTCTAGAATTCCTGACCTCACAAGATCCACCCACCTCGGCCTCCCAAAGTGCTGGAATTATAGGCGTGAGCCACTGCACCTGGCTAAGTTTCTATGTCTTTTTGTCCAAGTCTCAAAAATCAGGAAAGAGAATCTGATCGGCCCACGTCGGGACAAGGGTTCACTTGGTCAAATGTGGCTGGTGAAAATGTGGCAACTGGGTCTTCAAGGACAGAGGACA